ATGTCTGAAATAATATATCTAAGTTGAAAATATTTGTCTCACCATAGGTACATTATTTAAGATGTATAGCTATTATTTATGTTACACCTTCAAAATAATATTTAATATCCTTCGAAAAAATGATCAGAAAATAAACAAAGATTCAGTTGTCTTCAATATTACATGGATGAAGCACTGTACACGGAATTATCAATGAACTAGGTAAAATGTCGGGTTTGCAAAAAAAAACGATAAAACAATCTATCTACTTTTTGTGTAAGTTTAATAATTAACTTTCCTAAAAATACATTAAATTCCATACTAATAAATAAATAAATAACCAAGAAGTAAGAAGGGGGTTGTTACGAAACTTGGCATGAAGGTACGTGTCATACAGATATATGAATGATTAGAAATGCAACGTGATTGCGCATTGCTTTATGCCACCAGAAGGCGTTGAACTATGTTCTTCTTGGTTTATAAAACTGGTAAGCAGAGCTTGTTTGTGTGTGTTTCATATGTTGCAAAGGGACACTTTTTAATTAGAGATGCCATGACACTGCCATCGGAGACAACATGAACATCTGTCAGAGTTCGAGAGGGGAAGAATCATTGGGATAATGGATAATAAGTGGTCAGCTTTTCAAGTTGCTTGCCATCTAGGCCGTCTAACTTTAATGTGAGGAGGTGTTGGGACCAGTAGACAAGAGAGAGAGGTCTGTTACAAGACGGCCAGGCGACCCTGATGGAGCAATAGTCGAGAAGACTGTCAAATCATACAGCACGGACGCATAGAGCCAACTATCTCATTGTCCACCATCCATATACAGGCAGCACCTTCACAACGGTTCTCTGTGTCAGTCCGTACTATCGCAAGGCGCCACCTGGCTGAAGAACAATTGCTATCGCGGAACCCATTACGTATATTGACATCGACACCCACTCACCGTCACCTGCGTTTGGAATAGTGCCGCACTCGAAGGGATTGGACTGCGACCGAATGGAATTAAGTCATCTTTAGCGATGAATCCAGATTCAATTTGGCAGTAATGACAATCGTGTAAATGAGTGAAGGCCCCATGGTGTACGTCTCAATCCTGTATTCGCTCCCACAACTGGTGTGATGGTGTGAGGTGCCATCGCATACGATACACGGTCACCCCTTATATTGATCCATGGCACCATGGCAGCTCAGAGGTACATTCGGGACATTCTTCAGCCACATGTATCGCCACTCATGACAGGGTTCCCAGGAGCCATTTTTCAACAGGACAATGGTCACTCACACACAGCAAAGGTCTCACAGGATTGCCTCCGCTACATGTCCACCCTCCCCTGGCCTTCTCGATCCTTAGATTTGTTTACGAGTTTGCTTGAATTAAAAATGCATTTAAAGCAGCTGTGGAACGAGATGCCAAAGGACGTCGTACGCGACTTGTATACATCAGTGCTCGACCGTAACACATCATTCATTCATGCTAGAGGTGGCCCAACAGGGCATTCAAACCTCCATTCAATTGTAATTTTTCCGACTCTAAATCATCATTTTGTTTTAATTTTGTAATCACTTACTTACATTAACATTTTACTGACGTGTGTAAATTTTCATTTTATTCAGACAACTATTTCTTGGTGCTCAAATTCTTATAGAAATATGTATATAAAAAATAATATAAACAGCTTTTTCCTAATTTATTATGTTTATTGATTAATGATATTCCAAGTGATATTTAAACTAACTGAAATACACACAAATACAAAAATAACCAAAAGGAATATATTTGATTGTTATAAATTAAAGTTTTCAACTGCAAGCGATGCATAACTATATCTAATGCCCGTTTGCAGAAAAAAAAATGAAATTTGACGAAAATTCCTACTTAACTTCTATATTATCTCATACAAGTAATTTATATAAAAATAAATTGTTTTTACTTTTAACTTAAAATATAAGACAAAAAGCAGAGTAGATAAACCAACATCTTTAATTGAAGTTTTATTATTATAGTTTTTTTTTGTAATATATGTTAAGAAAGAACTATTATTTTCTTTTATAAACTCGCTTTCTTAATTAATAACATCAAATTGTTTGTGTAAAATGCTGTCAAGCTTTTTCTTGTTTTCAAGTTGATATATTTTATTCCTTTCCTGTTTTGAAAAATTAATTATCTAAATGTCATATCATAAAAAGAGCTTTTTTTTGTTACTTTTAACGAGTTGTTCTAAGATGGCACTCAACTTGTTCCATTAAAATTAAAATGAAGGCTTTTATTGTAAACAGGGACAAAAAGTGCAAATAATATTGTTCTCTTATGTAAATACAACAAATTTGAAATGCTCGGATCGTAAACTTTTATGAATATTCATTGGTTTATGTGTCATTATTAAGTTCTTCCACGATATTTGGAATTCACTTGCTGTCATAAAAATAGGTCGATCTGATATAAAAAAAATAAGTATGTCATTACAAAATTGAACTCTCTAAATTGTTAACTTATCGTTTATTTGAAAATCGAGCTATGATAAAATCTTTCAGATTGTTTTAATTTACAAAATAGAAATCTATGCAAAATCTGCATAATTGTATGCATTAGTCTTTATCAACGTTCATGCGTGATAAATTTGACCAGTAACGAAGTTATTTCTCAAAAATATTTTTTCAGATTGAGATCTTGTCTTGATCAAAGGAAAAATAAAACTCATAAAAATTATTTTTTTTATTTAACTATCTATTGGTAAATTACTTTAATGTGTATGAAATCAAGAATACAATGGATGACAGAAAGAAGAATAACAATTGTGAAGAATTGTGAATTTTAGACAATTTCCACAATTTTCGTCTCGAAAATTTTAAGAAGTTATCAATTTAAAGTTCTTAGTCCTTCGTTTTCCGAACAAATGAAATTAAAAGATTTTAAGGAATGAATCAGTTTTTTTTTTGAACTGTTCTCCTCACGCAAATAGCAAACAAATTGATTCGATTTTTTGTAGCACATCATTCAAGTTCTTTATGTTTTGCTTAATTTATTGGTTAGAGAAAATGAATAGATTAAAAAAAACCTTTAACATGAGGTTTTAAACGGGATTTTACTGAAAGAACATTCAACTTTGGCATAACTTGTATATTTCAGTTAGTAAGTCATAAAGTAAAATTAGCAACTACTAGAACAATAACAAATCATTTTTTTAAATTATATTTCTATAATTAACTACTCCTCATAGTGACATTGCATCTGTGTTTACTGTTTTTTAAATTAAGTTTTACAGCAATTTGTTGATTCAGGGTCTCCAGACCATAGATATAGATATCCACCCAGTAAAAAAAACATTCAGCAAAAAAGAACAAAATAATTTTAAACAATTTTAAGAATTTTAAAGAGTAGGAAAAGTTTTTGGTAGAGGTAGGTAGTAGGTTTAGCATCATTAGTGGTAATATTGACCTCCCTACAAATTAAATCTTAGATGAAAGAAGGGTTACATGTCTGCTGGAATGATAAGCTAGTGTTTTCCCCCTTTCCAGAGTTGTGGGAAATTAGTTGTAGTCAGTATGGGGGATCGTTGAGATGGCGAATAAAGTGAACTTTCTAAAAAGTCATAATACCTTTGTTTTCGTTTTCTAGCACGCGTCTTGTTGGACAATCATTTTCTTTTTACTTTTGCACACACACACACACACACACACACACACACACACATATATAT